GCAGGTGTGGTGAACGTCTAGTACTCACCTGCCACGCTGCGACAAAGTTGACTATCCAAACTGAGGAGTTGCTGACATTTCTGTCCTGAAAGTGACTAATATTCTGTAGGGTCACCTGCTGGATGAAAGGCTTAAAAATCACATACGCAGAGAAGTCGAAAAGAGTAGAATACGTATTGGACTAAAAACAATAATTTGAAAATTATAAAATTCTTAAAGTAGGTGTTCAGTTGGAGAATGAACGTGTGTGCTTGTCCAAGGGCGGGGGCGGCCGCGGGGGGGTTGGGTCCCCATTTTCAGCAGAAATGCTGTGGGGCGTGGCCCGTCTCTGGCTCACGGGTTTCCACAGCCCTGGCGACCTCGGCAGGTGGGGCAGGGAACTGAATGCTTTTTTAGTTCATTCCTCGGATTTTACGTCAATTAACTGATTTTGTGTCATCACATTTCTTCCTTAAACGTTCCCCAGAACAGCTCCGCTTGGAACTGTGACCTGGGCTGGTGTCACTGTGCGTGAAGTTATCGGAGCGGCTTCTGGGATACGGCTGGCGAGGCCATGCTTTCTGGGGTACCCTGGCAGGGAAAACCAGAGCAGGGGGCTTGCCCACCGGCCTGGAGAGCTGCTGGTCTTGGGGAGACAGCAGCTTCGAAGTCTGTGAACAGAACAGAAGTCTGACATGGGCCCCGCCCAAATATGCCAGTTGTCCTTGAGGTCCAGGAGGCCAAGGCGGAGCAGAATGGCCGGTGTCCCCCGCTGCCTGCGGAGAGGACTCAGGAGGGCCATGCGCAGAGAACTCCCTGCCAACGCCCTCCCAGGAGTTCCCAGCCCGCTGGCTTCACACGTCACCACGGGCACTTCTGAGGTCCCCAGTGTCAAACAGCTGGGAACAGAGAGCACAGACCACAGGGGACGCACTGGCAGACGGCGCACCGTGCAGGAAGCTCGGCCACCTCCAAGCAGGGGAAACCCGCGGCTGTGGGTAGACGCGCCTCGTCTCGGGCAGAAAACTGAGAACAAACACCGCACTTCCGATGAAACAGGTGAGTTTGCGTGTGGACGCGCGCGTCTCCGCATCGTGGACTGTGGGTCTGAAACCGACGGGCGGGAGGGGTAACTTTGGGGGGGGGCTGGGGGAGATGATGACGGTAATGATGGTAATGATGCCAGAGAGGAAGGAGCGAGGTCGCGCGTCCTCTGCAAAAGGCAAAACCAACCCGACCCGTGCCCCTCCCGGCGCGGGGAGCATCCTTACCAGGCCG